ATAATTTCGCTGCTATACGTGTGAGCACTAGCTAACGTTAGTTTATAATGGAAGTGCTATGTCTACAAATGGCGGAGCACTTACCTTAGCGGGTGTTAGTTAATTCAATTAATTCATTCATTTTATTTGTAAAGCGCACATTCATAACGAAGTTTTCTCAGGAACTTTTTCAATAGAGCAGGTCTAGACTGAACTCTTATAAATTTAGAGCGAACGTACCCACATGGCAAGCGTTGAGAGGGGCAAGGAAAACTGCCTTTAAGGGAGACAGGAGAGGAGAGAGAGACGACAGTATGTACATCCAACCAAGAGCACCTACATTAATAGTAATGATGATGAACGATCAATGGAAAAAGACGGTGAGCGAAGCGCACGAAAGGGGACGCGGCGGACACAGCACCGAGGAACAACAATATCAACAACACTAATGAATTAATATAATCAAAATAATATCAGTTGAGTTTGATGGCAGTCTAGCGGAAATGGCGGAGGTCACCAGGATCCAATGAGAACTGTGGAGATAAAGCAAGAATCCGGGGAAAGAAGTGAAGTTAGTAACATGCATTATGGGAGATGATCGAGTGCAGACAGGAGAAGAGAGGAGAGAGGAGCTCGTGCACCATTGGGCATCCCGATAAGTCTATGGCTATAGCAGATAAGTAGGGATGGTTCAGGATCCTGTCAGTTCTAATATAAGATTTTATAAAAAGGAGTCTTAAGCTACTTTATGTGGGAGGGTGCCTGCCTACAGAACACAAACTGGAAGCTGGTTCCCAAGGAGGAGGGCTTGGTAATGAAAGGTCTGGCTCCTGTTTACTTTTTAAGAGAGCTATAGGACACAAGTAGCCGGCATTCAGAGAAGTAGTGTTTTAGAGGGGTAATAATGGTACTATGGTCTTCAAGATAAGAGGGGCGTGAACATTGAGAGCTTTTTATAGGTGAGGGGCAAGAATTTTTTAAATTCTTTCTAAATTTTAAGGGGCCAGTGCAGAGAGTAGAACGGAGAGAGTGATGATCTCTTTCTAGTTCCTGTTAGTATCGTGCTGCAATGCGTTTTTTGAATCAATTGGAGCGTCTTTAATGGCTTTATTTAGGGCAACTGATAAAAGAGTTGCAGTAATCCACTTGAAGTAACAAATTGATGGTTAGCCAAGAGCGATGTGAGACAGGGGCATGAAGTTACCCCGTTCACTCATTGGCAATAAAAGTTATTAATACATAAAAATAATGTTATATGGAACCTTTAAATGAATAGATTTATTTATAATTTCTTTTTTTGTTGGAACAAAGTTGCATCATCTGCAAACAAAAATGTTATATTTTCGATGCCTCACAAATATCATTGATATATAGTATTATAGGTTTCTCAATGTCAGTATCTAGTAATTTACATATTGTTCATATCTTAACACAAAGTCAATGTCTCCGTTTATTAATGAAAGTGTTTCTGTTACATTTAGTTCCCACACCTCACCTGGACATCACAGAGAGAGAGACGTGAGTCCTGTTTTTAATCAGATTTATTTAAAACTTAATCAAACTGTAACCTGTACTTATGGGTTTTAGTAATATTCATGTTGTGCGTTTCAGAGGCGAGACGGCGCTCCACAAAGCTGCCTCCTCTGGTCAGAGGAGTATCTGTCGCTACCTGGTGGAGGCCGGGGCGTCGCTCATGAAGACTGACCTGCAGGTAAACCTACACTCACCTGTAACTCACTCCACCTGTAGGGAGAACAGAAAACCTAACACACTTTCTCTCTGTGGTTTAACCGTCTTTGTTCATCAGTTCTCAACAGCAAATCTAATTCATAATCATCCTGATGTGAGTCCTTATTAAATTCAGCTGATGATAGCTTGTTGAAGCCTGATAGCAGCCATGGTAATTCTAGATACGGTCATTAAATACAAAATAAGAGCATCAAACATAATCTACTGCCATATGAAAAAGGGGGAGCCTTTTTATAGACACTGATTAAACAGATTCAACTGACCCTTTCTAAGTCCCGCCCCTTTTTGCTTTGTGCTCCAACAGTTGAGTCAACATATGTTATATGCTAAGCTAATCTATGTTGAAAAGACAACCACATTGTGAAGATGGTTATATTATACAAATATACATAGTCACATCTGAAGTTACCAGCACCAGCTAATTAACTAGCCAATCCACCTTCATCGTTAGCTGAGTAGTTAGTAGTTAGTAGTTAGCAAAATACTAGCTGGTTACCAAGAATATTATTATATTTATAGTCTTGTACATTTTTGAGTTTTGAGTTTTTATAATATTACACCCCCTCGACTCCATAATGTTTATTTTTTTTACTTAAAATTGGCCCTAATACGCCGTCGTATATAAATGCCCTTAAATCCTCTCTGTACTGAAAAAAGTTTTCACCAATTCATCCAATAGTTGTTCAGTTTCACACCCACAGATTCATACTGCTAGCATAGCTTAAAAAATACTTTATCGTTAAATTTAATAGAACTATTTTATTAGTTTAATGTGTCTGTAATTTCTTACTACGTTTTCTCTGTAATTTAATGCTAATAAATCCAGTAAAGACCAAACAGATCCCTCACTCTGCTGTAAACATGATGTTTTAGAGGAGTCAAACACTTCCTGCTGTACGAGGCGTCTTTGTGAGCGTTCTCAGGCGCAGTGACGGCCACCAGCCCCGAACTGTCCCCCCGCACTTTAAATGGATCTCCAGCAGTATTTGACCCACTTCTATAAAGTGATTAATGTTGTGTGTCATTGAGAAACGGAGCGCCGCGGGATCCCCGGCCTCGCTCCGACACACACAAAGGCCGCAGCTCACCGTTGCCATGGTGCAGCCAGTGGTAACAGGAAACAGCCCATAATCTGAGTTTTTCTTCTTCTTCTTCTTCTTCTTCTTCTTCTTCTCGCCAGCAAATAAAAAGAGCTCATTTGTTAGTGTGTAAAATGTTGGTGTGGAGCCGAGAGACTTTCATTTCTCACACTATCCATCCATCCATCTATCGATAGTGACCTGTGATCTTCATTGAACAAGCAGTCAGTTTCTCTTCTGTAGATGTTTAAAGTCTCCATGAAGTCAGAATCAATGTTTATCTCCTCTGTCCTTCCGTTTCTGTCCAACAGGGACAGGAAGTCCTGTTTTAGGTATTCTTAATGGTATCGAATTAAACGCTTTCTCTCTAATGACGAGCGGAGTGTTTCTGAGGGCCGATCTATTACAGAGAAAGTGTTTGATTGGACGTAGCATTAGTAAACGCCCCCGAGTGCAGCATGAGTGATCAAATGCTTTTATTGATTATCAGGAAACTCTAAAATACCATTAAGAACACCTGAAAATACCTGAAACAGGACTTCCTGTCCCTGTTGGACAGAAACTGGAGGACAGGAGACGTATAAAGACAAAGGAGATAAAAGCATTCACTTATTGATTTGATTTCATGGGGAACTGATCAGTTTAATAGTGTTTAGCATTTAGCAGCTCTGCCAGGTTTGGTATCAGATACATCATGTAGGGAAATATAAATGCTGTTTCTGTTTCAGGGTGAGACTCCCAAACAGCGCGCTGAGAAAGCCAATGACCCCGAACTGGCAGAACATCTGGACAACTGCCAACATTACCAGATGATCCAGAGAGAGGACCAGGAGACGGCAGTCTGAAATTCACCATGTTTCATTTATTTCCGCCTCTCTCCCCCGATACACCAGGTGTATACAGCAACATATCAGTTAGTGCTTCTTCTTTGCTGTAAGGGGGCAGGAGGTGGTAGGCACATAAAACTGGTCTATTATCAATGTGTTTTTCCCTTAAACTGTTTAAATTGAGCAGAGATGATGTTTGTTCTGGATAAAGTCGATTTGTAGACGCCTGAAAACGCCTCTGTCCTCTGCTGGAGTCCAAACTAAAGAAGCTCTGGACACTAAAGTGAATTCAAACTCTTCAGGCCACAAAGATCTGCTGCGAACTGCATGTTGAATGTGTCTTTTACGGACTATCATTAGCGCTCTGACCTCTGTGTTAAATGTACAGAAAGAGAAACAACAGCAGCTTTGACCCAACAGTGACCGTATTCATCCGCCTGCAGCTGATGGAACTAGACGCTTTCGCCATATGAGATAAAATGGCTGCTGTCTTCTCTCCAGCTTTAGTGACCTTCTGGATGTATTTGTTTACTCACAGAAATAAGTGTTTGGATATTTAATGTAGAGGAATTTAGCTATTTATGGTTTATTTGTAGAGATAAAACACATGTTGCCCGCAAACTGACTGCTTTGGTCCGAATTTTAGATATTTCAGTCAACATATGAAATTCTTTTTGTAATTTTTTTTGTCTGTTACAAACTGTAAAGCAAATGGCCGCCAGCAGGAAGCTTTCATTGTGATGTGTGTAAATAGCTGAGATAGTAGACTTGTTTTAAATGGCAACAGAAGCTGAAGCCAGATTCTGCCAAAGTGAAGTCTGTATTAATAATAATAATAATAATAATTATAATAAGAGTCAGAATGACATTATACTGTATGATATTGTTTGGTTTTATCATTTCTGAGTGACCTGCAATAAAGCATGTCGGTTACAGTTTTCTGTGAAGACAATGAAATTATTCCCAAGAAGAAACCATTCGATTAGCAAAAATACCAAATGAATCCTCAATGAAACTGGTTCAATTAAAGGAGTCCTCCTGGTCCACACTTCTCTTCCCAATAGTTCCTGTTTGGAACCACAATTGCAGTTTTTGAACCATTCATTTGACCTCCACTCACTATATTACCATTACATTAGCTCCACAATAATAGGTTACAGAAGACAGGGCAGATACAGGACAAAGGTCTGGGCTGTAGATACAGGTCAGAGGTCTGTACAGTCTATTTGATTAATATAACAGTAACAATAATTAGATTATTAATATTAACTGTATTTCATAAGCTTTAGTGAAGTCCAATAATTTGACACTAATTGTCTTTTGGGGGGACACTAATAAAGATTTAATTAATTCCATCCGACAATAATGACAAGTTACAAAGGCCAGGATACAGGGCAGTGCTGTAGATACAGGGTATAGGTCAGTGCTTTAGATACAGATCAGAGCTCTGTACTGTCTATTTGATTCATATAACAGTAACAATAATGATTCATATTAATTTTATTTCATACGTTTTAGTGAAGTCCAATAATTTGACTGTGTCTGTGTGTTTTACAGCCTTTATGGGAAAGTGTGCATCACGTGAATGAATTACACACTTTATCAAATCGGCTTCAAACCCCGGCGTTCTTCCTGGGGGATTTGGAGGCGACAGCTAATGTAGCAGCCTTCTGGTGTCTACTTAATATCTGGGCCAAAACTTCCTGTTCCGTGCGGCGGTCAGATATCTAAATGCAAAATATCCGAATTTTAGAATAGCAATATCCTCGTCAGATGATAGCTGATGAGTTCCTGAGATTTCTCCCAGTCTGTCTGATATTTATCAGTTCTGAGTTTAGAGTTAAAAAAAATCTGAATTCTGAATTTATTTAAATGTTGAAGTCAGAACACAAATAAATGCTTTTTGATAAACTGCAAGAAATAAACTTTATGTTCAGTAAATTACAAACAGTAACAATGAGTGGATGTGGTCTCAGAGGGTTTCTCAGAGTCCTGAGGGGAGGAGACCTGAAGGAGGACAGGAGGAGGTCTCCCTCCCTCCCGCTCTCTGTTCCCAGCTGCTGGCTTTAACAATGGCTGCCACGCATGACTGAGCCATCAGAGTGCTGGGAGACCTTTTCTCTTCTCTACTGGTTGTTTGCCACCAAGAGCAAAACTGACGCAGAACTCAGAGATTTTATATCGAGTACAACAAAGTGCTCATTTTACCTCAACAGGAAGCACAGAACAGCTTCCTCCTGAAAAGATCTTTCAAATCTATAATCAGTAACATTCCCTCATTAAACAGAAAACTCTATATGGAGCTGATTCAATCAATAATCT